ATTAATTAATGTAAAATTGTAAAGTAATTATTGTATGTAAATTGTATTCCTTTATATAGTACAATTTAATTTCTTGTATATTAAGCCCTTAGGCACGTAAAATAATGAACAGGGCATGTTATCGTGACGCGGCCACGGAACAAATGAGGCTACGCGCACCTTGCTTTTTTTTATATAGTATTTTTTTTGAATAGTGCAAAATCTAGCACGTCGGGAACGTAATCGGTGATATCGGGATAGTGAGTAGCACCAAGGGGACTGTGGACGGTAAGGTCAAGAGACTGCGTGATATCGAGCAGTATCCTGCCACTACGTGAAGTAGTACGGCATGTCCATTCAGTATGCTTGGAGTTAAAATCTCCAAACATAATGACTGAATTGCCTAGAGATAAAATAGCCTCAAAATCTTTTTTGAGGGGAAGGGTTTTAGAAGGGATGTAACAGGAGGCTATGAAGATGGACTGATGTCCAGTCATAGCTAGCCTGCATACCGTGGCTTCCATGTTGGAAAGTTGCGGAGTAGAAATGGGAGAGCAGTGAAGTGTCTTCTTGTAATAAATGGCCGTACCGCCGCCTCGGCGGTCGGGTCTGTCATTACGAAGAAGAGAGAAGTTTTTAATGGAAAGGCCTTTAGTGTCCTTAGTATTGAGATTAGTTTCCTGTAGGAGGAGGAAATCGGCTTCACGATTTGGAAGAAAGAGCTTAAGCTCTGGGAGGTTGTTTCGTAAACCGCGAATATTAAAGGATACATGCGATAAACCCTTAGGTTTGATACGACCATGAGATTTTGGCAGAGCAGACTGCTCTGTCATTGTGAGTTAAGTTAATTAAGTTAACTTAACTTACAACGAACACAAAAGATTATGATGCTCTGCAAGAGCGAGGAGACGGTCCTGAGGGGACCTCGCAGCGCGCAATTTGCGTGCTAACACAGCGATTTCGCCAACGTCGATGTTCCTAATAGCGGAATACACCGTTTTTAGGTCATCAGCCATTGAGGGCAGTGATTGTTGTGGTTGTGGGGCGGAGGATGTCCGCGGTGGTACTGCCTTTTTGGGGCCCCAGGGAAAAACTGGAGGCTGCATAGGCTGAGAGAAGCCCGGAGGGGGCCGAATAGTGCCCTGAGGGGGCCTAGGGGGACCCTGAGAGGGCCGAGAGAAGCCCTGGAGGGGCTGAGAAGGTCCCTAATAGGGCATTCGTTGGTAGAGTGCCGGATATGAACGCTCATTGACCGGCGATGGAGCTTGCCTACTGGGGCGAGGATGAGGTGCGCAGGGGCAGCCTCTGTAGTTTGCCGGGTGGCCTGTTTGTTTACACAGGACACATGCTGGTGGGGATTCGGCATCTTTGGGCCGAGGACACTCTTTAGTGTTGTGGGGTTCAAGGCACTTAAAGCACCTGGGTGGGGCGGAGCAGTTGGCCGCCGCATGACCATATAGCTGGCAGCGGTGGCACTGCGCCGGGAACCCGCGCCTATGTGGAGGCTCAACCCTCACTCTCGACAGGCCGCACACTGTGCGTACCTGCCGGAAGATGGCTTTCGCCTCCGGCACGTTGGTTAAAATTACTAGGGCAAGAGAGAACCTCTGGCCCGTTCTACTGTGCATTTTGTGCACGGCTTCTACGGGGAAACCTTGGAACTTAAGATCCTCAAGCCCCACTCCCCTCCCGCTATAGCGTCCGCAGGCCAAGGAACTCCCTCTCGGATCCGCCTAATAAACTTTCAAATGACCTGAACTGCCTCCTGGCGGCTCAGGCCAACTCTAATTAAGTTATTCATAATTAATTTGCCTTCGTAGGCACTCCCTCAGCGGCTAATAGCCGCCTGCGCCCTCTTTTCCCAAAAGAGGGTCGCTTCCGATACGGCATAAGAAGCTTTTTGCCAGTCCCCAAAGGCGGTTGCCAGTTCCCAAAGGCGGTTTTAGAGGATATCACTTAGGTTCCCCCGGTAGGCAGTGAGTCCCTCATAACCACGATAGACCGGCTGTCGTGGTATGCGTAATGCATTTCCGCCTCCCTACATAAAGGGTAGCCCTTTTCCAATTGCTTCGGACGCAAAAAAAAAAAAAAAAAAGAACGGTCGGCAGTCGCTCTCCAGCCACCGAAAGAAGACAACAGCAAGAAAAAGTACAAGTTCCTCCTCACCGCTGCTTGCCTCCAGTTTAAGCAAGACCAGCGCGTTTTTATTCATTTTTCGAACGGCGTTACGGCGATCCGTAACATTAATGGTCCTTCGAGAAGCCGGATTACTAGAAGAAAAAGACAATATCGGTCTTGGTATTGCCGGAAGAAAGAAGCAAACCGCAAGAACGAAAAAATATTATTGTGAAGAAAAATGGTGATCACGCGTAGTAACAACGGAGAATCATCGAAGCGTCGCAAGGATGAATAGATAACCCAGGGGGCCACAGAAGAGGCCTCCGGGGGCGATTCAACCACTAGTGGTACATCCAACACCACGAGCGAAACCACAACGGTCAGCGATACAACCGCTACCTCTGCGACCGATAACACGGCCGCAACGGAAGAAACCCAGCAAGAGAAGGATCGAAGATCGCAACGCACACTAAGGCCCGACGAGACTAGGTCGCGCCGCTCCGTAGCTTCACGCAAGAGACTCCTCGCGGAGTTAGAGGCGAAAGAGCGGTTAGCCAAACTCAAGCTCGAGCAGGCTCAGTTGCTAGCAAGAACGGAATTGCAAGAAATACACGTGCAGCGACTACAAGCAGAAGTCGGATCAACCGATGACGAAGATGAAGAAATAGAAGACGATTTAGCATCAGTACGCATTAGTACATGGTTGCAAGAAAAACCTACCTCGCAACCAGCGCCGCAGCCCGCGCCGCAACCCACGTCGCACTTCGCATCGCAACCCGCTCCGCAGTCTACATCGCAACCCGCGCCGCAGCCCGCGCCGCAACCCACGCCGCACTTCGCATCGCAACCCGCTCCGCAGTTTGCATCACAACCCGCGCCGCAGAAAGAAGACTATGGACAGGCACAGCAACAAATCGACGTCGCTACCTTAGCCGCTGCTCTATCACAAGCAGTACGAAGCACAAGGGAGCCGCCGAAATATGTGCAATAGCTACCTACATTCAATGGTAGCAGCAAAGAATGGCTCAGCTTCAAAACAACGTACGAAGAATCTTCAAAGTACTTCACGATGAACGAAAACATAGCGAGAATACGCCGAAGCTTAAAAGGGACAGCAAAAGAAGCCGCAGGTTGCCTACTTATAAGCCAACCAGATCCCAGAATGATAATGGAAGCTTTGGAAAGGAGATTCGGACGACCGGAAGCGTTAATTCACTTAGAAATAGAGAAGCTGAAGCTGCTGAACAAAGTTACGGACAATCCCAGGAAGCTATGCATATTCGCAAATCGCATAGCAAACGTAGTGGGCACCCGTGGAAGCACTCAAGAAAGCACACTATCTGCATAGTCCGGAAATGACGCGAGTTATCACAGACAAACTCACGCCCATATTGAGAAGCAAATGGTACGACTATGCAGCCAGAAAGAAAGAAGATATCCCAGAACTTAAGAAGATATCAATGTTCTTAAACGAAGAAGCGGATAAATGCAGCGCGTATGCCTTGCCGGAGTTCATCGCAGAGGACAGCGAGACGAGAGAGCGAAGGCCGAGAAAAATAGAACGTGCCTTCGCCACAAGCAAGAAACAATATGAAGAACGCTGCCCTCAATGCAAACAAGAACACAAACTGCCCGATTGCAAGTCATACGCCGCTCTGTCCACAAATGACAGATGGGAAGTAGCAAAGAAGTATAATATCTGCTACCGCTGTCTGCGAGGCAAACATCGCCGATTGCTGTGTAAAGCTCCACCGTGCGGAAAAGGCGGATGCATGATGAAACACCATAAATTGCTGCATCACGACAGAACAGCAGAAATTGAAAAGGAACTCGCTATGGAAACCGCAACATCGGCAAGGGAGGTCATCACAGCGACTCGACCGTACAAACACCGCCGCGCTTATCTAAAGATTGCGCCCGTAACAATAAGGAGGCCGCTAAGCTGCGTCGAAACATACGCATTATTGGATGAAGGAAGCACAGTCACCTTAGTCGATGCCTCGATCGCCGACGTCATCGGCGCCGACGGCCCAGCCCACGCAATATGGATACAAGGGGTCGGCTCGGAGGTGAAATATGAGAAGAGCAAGATCGTCAGCCTTAAAATAAGAGGAAAGTACGCGCAAGAGGAACACAACATAGAAGCAGCGCGTACGGTAGAGCGGTTGGACTTCGCGCCAGAATCCGTGAATGAAAATCACTTGGAGAATTGCCAACATCTGTTGGATATCAAAGAAGATATCACCTACGAACGCGCCTCACCGAAAATACTAATCGGACAAGATAACTGGCACCTCATAGTGTCTAGAAAACTGCGCGTCGGTTGTCCTGGGCAGGGTTCTGCATGGCTGTCATAGTTCATTGACGTCAACGGTCACCTTCTTAAACAAGTTCAAGAATGTGATTTCGCGGAAGAAATAAATTCTTTGAAATTAAAAGGTTGTGTAGCAAATCGTAGCGTGTTACGCACTCTTTATCCCTTTTTAGACAAAAATGGGATTTTAAGAGTAGGTGGGCGCCTAAGTCAAGCTAATGTAAGTTATGATCAAAAGAATCCAATAATTTTGCCTGCTGAGAATCATCTTAGCCTGTTAATAGTTGCTGATGCTCATACAAAGACCCTTCATGGTGGTCCACAACTGATGATGAGTTTTTTGAGATCCAATTATTGGATACTGAGAGCACGGAATATGGTTAAAAAGTATTACAGAAGTTGTGTTGTATGTTTAAGGTACTCTAAAGCAGCGGCTATACAATTAATGGGTCAATTGCCGGAGGTTAGTTTAAAACCAAGCAGACCTTTCAAAAGTTCAGGAGTGGATTATGCAGGTCCAATTAATATCCGGTTCTCTCCAGGCCGTGGATCAAAATCCTACAAGTGATACATTTGTTTATTCGTTTGTATGGTAACTCGCGCGATCCATTTAAAAGCGGTATCTGTTTTAACAGCCAAAGGCTTTATCGCTGCATTTAGAAGGTTTGTTGCACGTAGAGGTCATTGCCAAGATCTCTTTAGTGATAACGGCACGAACTTTGTGGGAGCAAATATAATGTTGTGTAAAATGTTTGATAATGCTAAATCTGAACTACATAATGAAATAGCCGAATTATTAACTTTGGAGTCAACAAAGTGGCATTTTATACCACCAAACGCACCTAATTTTGGAGGAATATGGGAGGCGGGTGTACGATGTGCTAAAGCTCATTTGAAACGAGTTGTGTTAATAAGACTACCTTAACATTTGAAGAGATTTCTACTATGCTGACGCAAATCGAGGCCTGTTTACATTTGCGACCATTGAGCGTTCTTAGTGACAACCCAAATGACCCTCTCCCATTGACACCTGGTCATTTTTTAATAGGCGAACCTTTGTTAAATATTAACGATGTAGATTACTCTGACCAAAATGTGAGGGGCTTAGATAGGTGGAAAATTATTCAAAAAATGGTTAATTCATTTTGGAAAAGGTGGTCTAAAGAATTTTTAAATAATTTAAATCAGAAAAATAAGTGGTGTACGAAAAAACCTGAAATTGATATTGGAGATGTAGTGGTGATAAGAGATGATAATATACCACCTGCCAAATGGATTTTAGGTAAAGTAATAAAAAAACATGCCGGACCTGATAATGTGACTAGAGTCGTTAGTGTTAAATGTAAGGGAGGGTATTTAAAACGCCCTGTTAGTAAGCTTTGTGTGTTGACTAAGTCATAAAGATTCAAATCACACTGTCACGGTGGGCGGCTTGCTTCTTTAGTTGTCAAGTATTTGTTAGGAGTATGTGGATTTTTTGTGTGAAGGACAAGTCCTTGGTGGGCGGAATGAGTAAAAAGGTTATATATATTGTGTATAGTATAGTCTGCTTATGCAGATGACATTGTTTGATTTATGTTCGCGCTAATAAATGTATTACTACTTTTGTACTTAGTTAGTTGCTTATGTATGTCAATTGAGTTTGAAATTCGAGTGAATATACGAGTTGTGTTTACGTGAGTGTGTATCATTTCTAATACACACACACACACACACACACGCACACGCACACGCACACGCACACGCACACGCACACGCACACGCGCACGCGCACGAGCACGCGCACGCGCACGCGCACGCGCACGCGCACGCACGCACGCACGCACGCACGCACGCACGCACGCACGCACGCACGCACGCACGCACGCACGCACGCACGCACGCACGCACGCACGCACGCACGCACGCACGCACGCACGCACGCTCGATTGTATGTTTTTTATGTGTTTCCTCATAACTTTTTTGTGGGTGAACCGATTTCGGTGATTCTTTTTTATTTGAATGCTAGTGCTTTTCATGTGGTCTCCATATGAATTTAATCAAGGTCAATAGTTTTTGAGTAATTCTTAATAATTTTTGGTTGTACAAAATTTTTATTTCTAATTATTAGTTTTTGAAGTATGTTTAAACTTCTTTTAAAATTAATTTTTTACTCTTTTGAGTGAATAAAGGAATATCACAAGTTTAGGCTAGCAACTATAATGTCATATTAATAGTTACATTAAAATCGTTATCCCCTATGTTTCCACCCTTATGGATGTAATTTTGTCTTAAAATTTCTATGGGATCAACGCTGAAGTATACACATTCTATTTAATAAAAATTCATCAGAATCGGTTTATAAATAAAGAAGTTTTGCCCAACACATAAATAAAAATCATATAATATAAAACATACAATACATACATAAAGATACATACATATATAATGAATGTGGAAAAATTGAAAACCTATTTTTATTTATAAATTAAATTTGACAGATTTTTCCGACCCGCGTGAAAAATAAAATTATTTATAATATATAATTATATAATATTTTATACAACAGTAATTATTAATTTATTTTTCTCTCTTCGTAAACTTGCTTGGTTCTATTTACTAACTGATATACTGTTATTTAATTAAGACATTCTTAAAAAATCTTTTCGAAGAGACTAAGTAATTCCACCATACAGTGTTTTCATAACCTCATTTCTCCCCTCTATTGTATTTTTCCCGCTCGCTACGTTTTAACAATGTCACGTTTTCACGTAATAAGGAAGAACGCGAGATAATGATATGGAGGTGGTAAGATTTTCCGTGAGATGAGCGCCGAGCCTAAGAGCTATCATAATAAGCTACTGCTTAGAATAGAACAAAGAAAAGAATGGGAAAGAATATTTAAAAGTTACGAAACATAATATGTTATATATTATATATCATATTCTCAGGGGTAAAGGTTTGAGTTGGCTATAGGCAAAGATATTAAATTTTTAAAACTTGTCTTTGGTTACTGTATTTCTTTTGCACACCCCACAACGCACGAGCGTGCTTCTATTCTTGACATGCCGCATGTGACGATTTTGCAATATAAAATTCTTAGTATGTCTCAATTTAGACACTAGATCAATAGGAAAGGGATGTTTTGAAAACGAGATATGTATATTAAATTATAAAGTTAGCGTATTTTTTTTTATTCATTTGTTTAGTTATTTTTACAAAATATGTAGTTAAAAATTATTAGTACGGCTGTCAGTTAGTTTCAGAGGAGTTTTGGCGGGAACTTGACCAGCGGCGGTTTGTTGCTCCTGTATTACTGTTTAAATAATGGTTTGAAGTGGACTTTGATATGTAAAAGTGGTGCGATTTTGTGTATTAAGTGTCTGCGCATGTGAACTATTAGTGGAAACTGTGAAACAAGTGTCTGATGGTGATGTGATTCTCAAAATAAGGTGTCTGTCTGCTTATGCGCCTTGAGTTACCATCGCCAACCATCAGCTGTCTGCTGGCTCAAATTGCCGTCAAAATCTCCCAAGGGCTGCACAATGTGACGCATCAACATATTGTGAAGCAGTATACTATGAAGGATAATTATAATATATTGTAACTTTAGGCTCAGAAGGGCTACATCCCAGAGCCGTAAAGCAAGTTATTAAAAAAACACGTTTCAGAAAAATATACGCAACGAAATGTAATAAATCTTTCTGAATAAGTTTCCATTTATCCTCAGGATAATCCCTATTGCTAGTTATTATCTGACTCATAGAACGTCTAAAAGTATTCATTTTTTCATTATACCATATGAAAATATAAAAACGCTCATGAGGCGTGAACTTTTGGATTATTATATTTTTAAATCGTGTAGTAACTGACTGTAACTTTATTTGCCACTCCCGTTTCGCAAAAGCAATCATACATTCCATTACAGCCTATAAAATTTCACTGCTGAACATAGACCTTTTTTATAGGATAGGGTAACAAACGAGCACACAGTCCACCTGATGGTAAGTGGTTGCTGTGGCCCATAGACGTCTACATCTATCCTCGTTTGCGAATCAAAATACAGATGCGTTGTCACCCGTAAGGACTAAGATGGAATGCCTCTTTTCCAGTAAAAGGGGTCTCCGGTTCTCTGCACTTCCCATACGAAACACAGCAGTGTTAAGCTGCTATTTTAGGCTGATATTCTGTGAGAGCGTGGTCCTTCCCCGGTCGAACCGATCCATTCGTGCTACAAGTATACTACTAATATAGCTGCAGCGGAGCTTCACCGCGTGTAAATAGACTCATGACTCACAGAAAGGATTTTGCCATAGTTGTATAAAATTTCGTAGTAGGCGAGTAGTATAAAATTTCATTGCTGAACATAGGCCTGACCCATAAATTGCCTCACAAGTAAAATTTTGCCACAGTTTTCTCGCTTGTAAGGTAGGTCGCCAACCGCAGTTTTTACGGTTTCATAACCAAAGGGTAACCAACGAAACCCTATTACTAAACCTCCGCTGTCCAGCCGTCGGCATGTCTGTCTGTCAGCGTGCTGTATCTCATAATCCGTAATAGGTGGACATATAGGTAGGTTTTTACGTGATAGAGCTATGCTGCAGCTATATTTAGTCGTAGGTATACATAGGTATAGTTGTTGCACTGGCTGGTCGGCTCGACCGGGGTAAGAACACGTTCTCACAGAATACCATTGTAAAATAGCTGCTTAACGCTGCTGTGTTTCGTATGGTGAGTGTAGAGAACCGGAGACCCCTTTTACTGGAAACGAGGCATTATATCTTAGTCGTTTTGCATTTGGATTCGCAATCAAGAATAGATGTAGATGTCTATGGGCTATATTATAGCAGCTATTTTAATAGTATAGTTGTAGCACGAATGGGTCGGCTAGACCGGGGACGGACCACGCTCTCACAGAATACCAGTGTAAAATAGCAGCTTAATGCTGTTGTGTTTCGTATGGTGAGTGTAGAGAACCGGAGATCCGTTTTACTGGAAAAGAGGCATTTTATCTTTGTCCTCACGAAGATAGATGCAGATGTCTATGGGCCACAGCAACCACTTACCATCAGGTGGACTGTGTGCTCGTTTTTCATCCTTATCCTATAAAAAAAAACATAGGCAGTTAAAATTTTCACAGAAAAATAAAAATAAATTAATAATTAAAGGGGGCTCCCAACTAGAAACGTATTTTATGATGGTACGGAACCCTTTACGCGCGATCCGACTCGCACTTGGCCGGCTTTTTGTTTATTATTTTGAGTTGTCATTAAAAAGTCTCTGTCGCCTCTTACTACACCCACGGGATGATATGAGCTAGTAGATTCTCATAAAGAGCCATTAAACGGCAGGATGTTCATAGTAAATCATAATTAAATAAGTATTAAAACAGCTACACTACAATGATTAATACCGCGTAAAATTTTAACGACGTGTCAAACGCCGAAATTATCATAGGACGATACCATTTCGTAAATGTTTTGGCGGGAAACGGTGCGCAAGATGGCGCCACGCCAATTTGCGTTCGAAATCGCAATACAGAATTAAATTAGATTACAGTGCTATTAATCGTGTCGCCGGTTCGCGCGAAATATTTTTGCCGTGTCTTTTGTAGGACAGTAGAGATAGGTACGACTTAATATTTTATGTTTAAATAAGATTAAATTACCAAAAAATATTTCTCTATATGACCGTACGAGGGTAATAGATTAATTTATCTATCTGTTTGTCGGTCTTGAACTTTACATCATATTCTATGATTTTCATGTTTTTTCTTCCAAGGTTTTTCTACTAATGCAAGTGGTAAAATTAAAAATTTTGTACAAGCGACTTAAGTATAAACTATTAAGGATAACTCAAAAACTCTTGGACCTTGATCAACCATCTTGATGGACCACATGAGAAGCATCGGATTTCAAATAAAAAAATCATCAAAGTCGGTACACC